GGCAAATTTTCTCAGTAGAAGTCCTGAGCCTGCATCTGAGGCTTGGAGCCAGGAGGATCACTGAACAGAGGGAAGAGGGAGGGGTGGGTTTGTAGGTCTCTGTGTGTGTGTTCCTATCAGTAGCACCAATGCTTTCATCACCTTTAAATGCACTTAAATGTAGCTCTCTTGTAGTGGCTGAGAGTGGCTGGGCTTAAGAAGCAAGATGGTGAGGCTGTCTGCCACCAAAAGTCCAGATTTGGGGAGTAAATTCACTTTCCAGATCCTGACCTTGAGATCATGTTCAGTCCGTGCAGGTGGAGTAACACCTGTGCATTCTGAATGGAGGGGAGCCAGGATTCAGTCGATGTCCTGGGCAGAGTTTGCATTCCACATGTGAAAACAGGTTTTGTAGTGCTCTAGCATTCAGCTGCTAATTAGATGAGAGCTGATGTTTACATTCGGGGAAAACATCCCCCCTGCTGTCATCTTATTTCACCCCTGGTACCACAAACAGCCCCACTCTCTTTTTCAGCTCCACAGCTCCAAGCTGAGTTTGCAAAGTTTGAGCACTTTACCCTTGCTTCACTGGTTACAGAGAATTCGGTGCCATGGTGCAGCATCTTAGCTGGAAATTTGTTTTACGTTGGAGAGTTGCTCAAAAATGACATTTACATGCCTCTTTAACGCAGCAGCCTGGGAAATCATCAGCAAAGTATCCCATGTCTAAATCTCAGTTTTAGACTGGCAGGCCTTTTCCACTCCAGTTCTATTTTTCAGGATAGTTTGGTTTCAGTTGGTCATTTTGAGGTAAAAATAAAGACTATGTGAGACTTTATAAACAGTTGAAAAAGTTAAAACTCAGAAACAGGTAATTTTCTGGTCCTTTTGTTTCAGCATCCTGCCCTGAGGGGAGGGTGGAAGTGTTTAATGTCCCACGGGTTTAAATTGAGGTAACATCTTTAAAATTGCTGTATTTAAGCAAGTGTAAGCCAGATGAGATGAGAATCGATCTAAGGGCTCCCCAATGAACGTTTCTCAGGCATGCCTCAGGCAACTTTGAGTCTCCAGCTCCCTGAAGACTCGTGATAAAAGGCACGTGAATATGCATAATTGTTCTCTGAGCCCTGCCTAAACTGAGACTCGAAAACATTTGTTTCTTCTGTCATTGAGGGACTGAGGGACTTGCTTTGGTCAGAGGCAGCAGTACTTCTCTCTGTTACGATGACCTGCACGCTTGCTCACTGAGAGATGCAGTTTCACACTTGGTCTTTAAGGGAACCTTTGTACAGAAAGGCCCCAGATGTGTAGCCTGATGCCGAGCCTGTAAATCTATCACTGTATGTATAGGTATTTTTAGCATGTTCATCCCTGGTGTGTGTGCCTAAAGTCAAGGTGCAAGAGTGTTGTTTCAGTTTGCATAGCGCTTTGCATACAAACTGAATCACAGGTCACCTTGATGTAGGACCACGTTGATACCAGTCTATTGGGGAATCAAACCATTGGTTTCCTATCCAGATTCCAGTTTTCAGTGGTTTTAGCCTGCCTCCATATCTTTCCCTGTTGTGTAGAAGACAGTGGATCATCAGCCCCTTTTGTATCTTGGTAGGGTTGCAGAGATGCTCAGAGGAGTTCCTTCTGCCCCAGCAGTTGGTAGTGGGGGACAGTCCACGTACATGAACAGCCACAACAGCCACATGTGGCCCTTCTTTGGCCACCCCTCACTTATGGCTCCTGCTGAGTTTGATGGGTCTGTGTAGTGTAACTGCACAGCTCCAGTGGCTGTGGTGATGGCACTTTGGGGCTCACAGGATGAAATGCAAGTTGTTGTTATGGTGACTAAATTAAAGCATGGAGTTAAAACTTGAGTTTGTATAGCACTTAGCATAATGGGGGCTGGCATGCCCGTGGCCTTTAGGCAGCTTCACCGTGTAAATGTTTCTAAGTCCAATAATCCTCATTAAATATATTTTTAATGCCCAGTGGCTATTGAAAAGATAAAGCCACCCATTAGATGTGAATCAGTTCACCCACAAACCCCTTCCTTGGTGCATGTCACTGCTAGGAGCTGCTTTGCTGCCCTGTTTCCTCTCCACTATCCTAATTCAGAGAAGCAACAAGGCAGTGGTAAAGCAATGCTGCTGGCTGGGCTAAGCACTTCCTGATCTTGTGTAGAGTCTTCAAACTTTGAAGAAACCAAGGGGGTATGTGGGCCTCATGATGAGTTAAGAAGTTCTCCTGATTTGCTCTTGTGGCTTCTTGTGGCCTGAAGGTTTTCCAGAGACACTCTTCTCCGTCTGGAGCATCCAGGTGATCTTGAGTGTCTAAGGGGGGCTGTCATGAGGCTAAGGACAATTTTCTGCTGTCTCTGACAGGGTGCACCTGGCTGTGTGATCCCAGTTTAGCTCCCGAAATCTACTGGTTGATAGCATTTCACTTTAGTCTGGTGATACTTTTTATCCCTTTACTGTTTGTTTTTTCTCTGTATCATTTTTTTGCACTAGGCTGATCTTTTCAAGTCGATTGCACTGTTGTCCCTCTCCTGCCAGTCTTGCAGAGACGGGTCATCTCCGGGGACCTGTGGGCTGGGGAGCACTGTAAAGAGCTGGATAACCCACTTACTCTGTTCAGTGCTTGCATTTTCAGCTCTGCACAGGGAGGAAGAAAAACTTTGTCTTAGCATTTGTAACAGGAAGCTTTTCTATCACCTTAATGTAGTTAAACTTCTTTTTAACAAAAACTGTCAAAGCTGGACTTCTCAGAGTGGTGTGCCAGGCGACAGAGCAGATGCAGGAGACAAAGCAATTCCTGGAAAACTGTTTGCCACCGACTCGGACATCACCATAGTTCCATCTGCCAAACGTTTGATCGCAGTGACACCTGGTGGCTGTTGGGAGTTGGAGACGAAAAATAATAACCCCCCCAACAATTTCCTTCTTTTAGCTCTGGATATTTGTTTCCTGTGACTTGCCTAGGACAGTCACCTGCTTTATTCACAAGGGACTGCAGGACTTGCCTATGAGCAGAGGGGCTCACACCAGGCGTGTCAGGGATGGTTTGTGTGAGGACATCCCTGTCTGCAAAACAGTGAAATGGCACATTCTCTGGAGTCACCAGTGTGGAGGGCCTGGGTAGCAATACAGAGTCTCAGCTCCATTTTCCTGCTTTGTCCTCCACTTGCCTTCTCTGCTCCTTGGGACCACAGCTAGAAGGCAGAAACTCTGGCTTGATGTGAAGGTGGTTCTTCAGAAAGAGCATTGGGTGCTGGTATGAGGAGTGCAGCACCTTGGGGAACGTCAGCGATGGCAGCATCTGGAGGTACGGCCAAGATCAGAGTGGATCTCCGTTTGTGGAATGGTGGCCAGATGTGGTCTGGGATGGCCAAGCTAAAGATTACTCCAAGATGTTGCCCATATATCTGGAACAGCATCTGTAATATGGAGTCTAACGTGTTCCAGGACCCTGCATCCTGCACGCTGCCTCATGGTGGGTAGGGTGGAAAGAAACAATGAGAAGTGACCCAGTAACTGCACTGTGGAGTATGCAATGCAGGTTCAGAATACAGTTCAAGATACCACCTTAAGGATCCCTCTGGCACAGAATACAGTGTGAAATGAAGGTACATTATCCTATGGATTATTGCAGCATGACCTTAGAGCGTTGCAGCAGGGTCCCACTGCAGCCACTGCTGTCAGCAACTCGTCTGTTCCCATCTGCCTTCACAGCCATGCAGGAGCACATCTCTCCTTCACAGAGAGTTTGGGGCAGCTGGAACAGTCAGAGACAACAAGCTCCTTCGTCTGTGCTGGCTCATGAGAGTCTTGTGGGCTCATAGCTGACAGCCAGGCTCCCAGCCATTCTTCTCAACACCTTCATTCCTGTTGGACCTAAACTGTCTGCAAGCCCTGGCCACTGCTTGGGATTGCTTAGAAACAGTCGTGTCTGGCCCTGGAAGTAACAGGGTTGTGGTTTTGTTTTCTTTGCAATAAAATGCACCTGCGGGGTGTCTGAACACTGACCCGAGTGCAGTGCTTTGCTTGGTTAGATCTGCTTGAATTCACATGTGTTGCATCTGGTAACTCACTGTCATCCTCTGCTGGGATGGGGCTGATCAGCCTGGCCCCCCTTTCCCCACAGTGCACTCCTTAATTCTCCTATCCCAGGTTTCTGTGGAAGCCCTGAGCTGTGCCAGGTGCCCAGGCTGCAGGAAAGTGGCTTATCCCCTGGGGTGTCCTACCCAATACCCGCAGGACCAGCCCAGGACCCATCTTTCCTGCTTGGATGGCTTAGCACGAGCCTCTTTCTGGAGCAGAGCCCCTGCATGTGTGCCCAGCCTGTGCCATGTGTGTCCCACCCAGCTCCCCACCATCCCACACCTGCTCGAGAGCTGGACCCCACAGGGAATCACAAAATTGTTGGGGGTGGAAGGGACGTCTGGAGATCATCTAGTCCAACCCCCTTGGTGAGGCAGGGTCACGTAGAGCAGGGGACACAGGAACACATCCAAGTGGGTTTGGAACATCTCCAGAGAGGGAGATTTCATGGTGTCCCTGGGCAGCTGTTCCAGTGCCACCCTCAATGTAAAGAAGTTCTTCCTCCTGATGAGATAAAACTTCTTTTTTTTTTAGTTTATGGCCATTGTTCCTCGTCATGTCGCTGGGCACCACCGAAAAGAGTCTGGCACCATCCTTTTGGCACCCACTTTCGGGATATTTGTATGGATTAATGAGATCCTCTCTCATTACAACTGCACGTGGTCCAGAGAGAGCCCTGCCGTGTGGTTCCAGACCACCTCGCATCCACGTTCTGGACCAGGTCCCCTCCTCGGCTGTGTCCCGGGTCAGACCCCTTTCCCAGAACCACGTTCCACGCGTGTCCGGGGGCGGCCCGGGCTGCAGTTGGTCCTCCGTGCCGCGGGGGGGCGCTGCGGGGCCCGCGCTGGGCCCGGCGGGCGGCGGCGCCGCCGTGTTTACATCGCCCGGCGCTCCCGCCCCGCCGCCGCTGCCCCTCGGCCCGGCCCGGCCCGGCCCGGTCCCCGCGGCCGCTCCTCCGCCCTCCGCGTCAATGCGGCGCCGCCGCTCCGCCGCCTGTCCCGGCCATGGACACCAGCGACCTGTTCACCAGCTGCAAGAAGGGCGACGTGAGCCGCGTGCGGTGAGCGGGGCCGGGCCGGGGCCGGGCGGGCAGCGGGTCCCGGCGTCCCCCCCGTACCGACCGCTGGTCACCCGGGCTGTGGGGCCGGGCCTGCCGGGGCGGGCGGGCCTCGCCGGGACGGGTTTACCTGAAGCCCACCCAGGCCTCCCTGGCGGCTCTCGCAGCCTCGGGGAGAGCCGTTTGTTTCTTTAGACGTCAGTGCACCTTGCAGCCCGGGGAGCTGGGTGTGCACAGGGTCTTTGCCGGTGTGCTTCGGTTTGTGTGGGGTTTCTGCCAGGTGTCCGAGTGTCAGACGGCCACTGCGTACCCGCGGGTGTGGATGCTGCTGCCAGTGGCGAATGTCCTTGCACGATTTCTCTCTTCAGCTGCTGTTTCTCTACTCAAATGGTGTTTGGGTTGGTAGGAAGCTGGATCCCTGGGAAGCAATCGTCGTGGAAATGTTTAGACGCCTTGTGCTGTAGACTGTGGTAGAATCTCTGAGAAATACCAGGATGCCAAATTTCAGGTCGAGTCTTCTTGCTCACGTCAAAGCAGCACAGCTCAGCTGCAGTGATTTTGGATCAGGAGACATGGGCTTGTCTGCAGGGTGAAGGGTTGGGGTCATGCAAAGGCCCAGGGTTTACAACAAACTCTTCTCCTGCATCTCATGGTTTGAGTGTAAGACTTTCCTTCACCTTTTTATCCTACTTGATTTTTGTAATCATGTTAGATCATAATCATGCAAGCAGTAAATTTCTTGCAGTTTACTGTAGAAGAAAGGGCCTGGGGGGTGGCCTTGCAGAGGTTTAAGATGACCAGTGTAGAAGTGATAATGGAGAAATGGTTTGTCTGAGAATGCTGACAAAGCAGGGGGGACACGTGGGACTGAGTAGAAAGGAGCTGAGTTGATTGGGATTTTGAATGTGATCAGAGGAACCTGGAGTCTGAGACAGGAAAGATGAAGAGAGTGAAAGGGAGGACTGAAGTGGTGGGTGATAAAAAAGCCCAAACTTGAGAATCTTTATGAAGGCTGAGTGGGACTTCTGCGTGTGGTTAGCAGAGGTGGTTGTTGGAGTAGTTGTGGACAGGCTCTAACAAGAGCCAGGCTGTGTAGGAGATTTGTCTGCAAGGCAAAGCCTGGCTTCTAGATATGCCAGAGAGGGAGTGTTGGCAGCATTAGATCTAGCCTGAATGTGCAGGACAAGGAAGTGGCAGGAATTCAGAGCAGTCTGGAGTGACACTGGTGCTATTGCTTGTGTCTGGAAAAGCAGGATGGGAGTCCAGCTTTGGCCTTGTGGAATTGACCACTTATTTGTAAGCATCCAGGCTGTGAACACAGTTGGAGAAAGTACTGCTAAAGTGCTCAGGCTTCTTTTGTGATTACTGACCTGTTAGGGGTGGGTCTGATTCCATTCTTTCCCCATGTACACCACTTAAGATTGAAGGGAGCTGCCAGACCATGCTGCAGAACACCATTCTTTGGGTTGAAGGTTTGACTGATGCCCCTTCAGCTGTAGGTGACAGCTCCCCAAATCCAATGCAAGATCCTGTCATACCTTTGGAAGTTCCTGAGTGAACTCAAAGTTACATTTTTGAAAGAGGAGAATGTTACTGAGTAGCTGCAAGAAGTTGTAACTTTGCTCTCCCTTTTCTTCCAGATACCTTCTTGAACAGCGAGATGTGGAAATTAATGTCCGTGATAAATGGGACAGCACACCCCTGTGAGTGCTGCAGCCTGGAGCGCTGGCTGGGTGGGGTGTAGGGCCTTCAGAGCTCCTTTGCTCTCTCAGCAGCAGGAGCCACGAGCACTGTTACGAAATGTCTCAGGTTCTGCTTTTCGGGAGCTTTGGCTAAATAGTTCTGCTTCTCTTCTCTGCCAGTGCTGTGCTAAATATGTCTTTGTCTCCCCATCTGACTGACGCTTGCTGTAGTGATGCTCAGAAGGGTGGTTCATTTTGTGACCAAATTACCTAGATTAAGCACTCTGTTCTTGGCTAGATTAGACTATTTCCTCATCAAAGACTATGGCATTCTAGTACGTCTTTTCAAGTGAAGGCATGGCTTGATGAAATGCAAAGTGACTGTGGGGTCACAGTGTGTCTGGCAAGGCTCTGAACATGCAGTAGGTAGTGAGGAATCCCTGTGCAGCTGCTGAGGAGCAGGGTGTGAGCTTTTTACCTCCCCACAACTCCAAAGTGCATTTAGACATCTGCAGTATATTTAGAGTACAGAATAACTTCCCAAAGTAAATGTAGACTAACATTTGGCTGCTGCAATGCACATTACAGAATTCTCCTAGTTTATAGGACTGTTTGAGGTGCTTGTGAAAGAGAATCATGAAAGGCTCAGACCACAAAAGAGAAACCAAAACTCATCCTAAGTAGGACTTAGAGGAGTGGATTTGCTGTACATCCAGTGAGTGCTGTTGCCTCCTCATCACAGAGTGCAGCAGTCAGACAGCAGAAGGATCAAGGAGTGTTTTTGAGAATTCAGTAGAATTGCTGAGTGCCCGTGAAATGTTCTCCATTAAAACGAAGATGCATTTGGCAGCTGGTGGCGCAGCAGAAGATGCAGGACCTAGATTGGGACCTTGAGATCTCCTTGCAGTGCCTAGGAGTGCTGAGAACAGATCCTGCTTAGTCTGTTGCTGGGATCAGACTCCTGTGCTATTCAGTAGCAACTCCTTACTCCTAAGAGGAGTCATCTTCTAAGCTTCTCAGGGATGCTCTCAGTGCTGTGGTGTGTGTACCTTGGTGTGCCTAGACACTGAATTTTGCTTCCTGCTGTATCTGATGATCTTTCTCTTGTTATTGTCAGGTATTATGCCTGCCTGTGTGGACATGAGGAGCTTGTACGCTATCTTCTAGCCAATGGTGAGCAAAAGTGTCCTGATTATGGGTGCAGTATCTTTATCCATATCGATCCACTGGGATTGAATATCCTTCTAGCTGTCCCTTGTGGAAACTTCTTCTGTTACCACCAACCATCTATCAGCAATCTCAGGCTACAGTGGGAGTCCTGGACACACTTTCACGGTCCCTTTTGTCGGCATTTGCTGCTTGAATTTGCTTCTTGAAATTGATTGAAATGTCTTGATTTGCTTGAAATCTTGAAAATGCACAGAAAGGGAAGCTTTCTTATGGTGGCTCAAGGCAGCACGACTTTCTGAAATCACAGCTGGTGTTTTTTGAGGGTGCATTGCTGGAGTATGCTGATGTAAGGGTTGTACTTCACATGAAGAATTGTCTGTGTAAAATTTTCTTGTACTGTTCTGATAGCCTGGCTTTGTAAGCAGGATTTAAAGGTGAAATGCAAGGGATTTTGCTAATCTCAAACACAGCAAGACAAATAATCCAGGCCAACTGCCTGCCCATTTGGTTCCCAGCACCCAAATTCCCTTGGGTATAGTGGTGTTCTGGCAGAGGAATTGGAGTGCAGAGTCAGATGTCAAAAGGTTTGTGTTTTTTACTGCATTCAAAGCATCTTAATCAACCACTTGTGTAATTCTAAAGTAGCAAAATGCAAATGCCCTCCAAATTTCTAGCAGAGTCTAACCTATAGAGGCATCTTCTACCTTATGCAAAGCAGAAATGCTTTTTAGGAGGAGCTGTTAACAGTCCAGTAAGTGATCATACTCTTTGTAAAGTAAGATTTGTCTTCCCAGAACACTACTGGAGCCATGCTGAGAGGCTTAGTACCCAGGTCATTTTATGACAAATGAGTCATGACATCTTCAGAAAGGGATTTGGCTGTGGGACAACAGCTTTAGGTTGTACACATGTGAGGGAAGCTTAGTTTTTGTAAATATACTCGGCAGCACAGGGGATCACAGTGAAACATGTCACCAGACAGAAGTCATACTCATTTAGTGACCACCTGGGGACACTTGGGAAGGATTTAACTGTGCCTGCTGGCACATACCTGTGGTGGTTTTGCAGGAGCGAAATGTGAGGCCAACACTTTTGATGGGGAGCGTTGTTTGTATGGAGCCCTGAGTGACGCCATCCGACGTCTGCTGAAGGAGTACAAACAGATCACAGCAAAGTGCATGAGGAGAGACTACTATGATGTCTTCCTGCAGAGGTAAGCAGATGAGGCATGTGCAGAGCATTCCATCATCCTTCCGTAGCTGCTAACCTGGATATTTGAGCTCTCTGCTAAGGGCAGCTCTGAAAGGCAACTGATCAGTACTCTGTCTCATTCCTGAGCATGTAGAACTTCCTAAGGGATGTTCCTTTCTGCCATAAAGGGATGACTTCCAGGTATGTGTGCATATAAAATATAGCCTCCAGTGACTGAGGTACAGACTCCAGAGCCAAAGAAAACTGGTCTTTATAATTCAGAAACACTAAGCTGTCATCTTTGACTGTCAAACCAAAATCAGATCACTAAAACTGCATCAGCAATTTAGGATAATATGTCAACTGAAATTTAATTTCAGGCCTGAAGGTGCTATAGCCTGCAAGCAGAGGTTTTCAACACTGATAACAGGTTTCTCATTTGTGAAATATAGAGCGCTTTAAGAAGTCTGAAACTCACTCATAGTGACAGCGTTCGGTTCTTTCTTTTTGTTCATTAAAATCTGTTAATTTTAAGATACTTCTGAAAGTTGCCTGTCATACATTGTAGTCTTAGCCTAGACCATGAGTAGCAGCCTGACTTGCTCAGGAGTAGAGGAATAGTGTCAATCTTTTCTTCTTGCTCTTTCTCTACCCTGATAGTTCTGATGTTATTGCACAGACTTTTTTTTTCATTTTTATTTCCCATTGGACTGACGTAAAAAACCCCACAAGGTTTCAACGTTTGTATCTTCGAAATTGAGAGCTAGTAAGTCCTAGAAAGATCTGACAATCTTTCTGTTACTATAGAGTCCCGATTTCTGAAGCTGTGGGGAAAGAGGGAAGGAAGGAAACTCATTTATCTGAGTAGAATCCGATTCTGGCTTTCAGAGAAGTAAAATTTTGCAGGATGATTTATTGCTGCACTGGTGACTCTGTGGCTCAGATGATGCAGAGTTGAGCTAAAATGTGCTGGTTTCTGCTTCTCATTCCAAGCAGACCTTGTATTAAAATTGAGGCAAAGGGCAACAGTAGGGGGGACAAAAAATAACCCCCTAATGCTTCTTTTTGATTTTGGGCAAGATGCTAGTAGGAAGGATGCTCTAGTGGCAGGAGACTGAGATCAGCAATCAAGACTCTGCTCTGACATCATCTCGTTGTGTGACCCCACACCTTTCTGTGCACCAGCCCTGCTCTCTAGAAGAAGTATTATGCCTGATGTCCACCTGTTTCGACCTCTTGGTTTGTGAGGATATATATGCAAGGGGTGATTGGCATTAGGAAACACTGGTGATGGTTACTGTAAACTCTAGAAGAAGCAGTCTTGTTTTTTTCCTTTTAAAGGAGGAGGGTATGGGCATGCAGTCATAAAGAATGCTTCACCTCTGATGTGGTAATTGCCTGCTTTTTATACCTGTTACATCCTTCCTTCTTCTGAGGGTGGGTGACATCAAGTCCTCTCCTATTTGCTGCGTGGTTAAAATATGCACACTGATAGTGCCCAGAGAGCAGGAAAGTTGCACCTTACTTTGTAGTGGGGTAATTATTTTTGAGAGTGTGTCCTTCTGCAGAGCTTTTTTGTCATCTGACAATTTAAAAGCAGAATTAACTTTTAGAGATGCATTTGGGGGCAACTAGTTCCACTTTAAAATCTGTTCCCTGCATTCAGGTGGTCCCCTAAGGCAGTAAGGTTTCTTTCTCCAGCCTTCTTGCGCTAACAAAACTTCTTCAAGTTATCAAAGGGAGGGAGAGATCCCAGTCTAGTGTACGAAGTACCAGCCCCAGTGCTGACCTTCTCACTGGTCAGGGAGAGACTGCAATGCCCAGAGGTATTTGTTCATTTAGGCCTAATTGTACCATGTCCCCCACTAGCTTTGCTCCATTCTCTCCTGTCTCATTCTCTCTGTGTCCCTCACAGGTTGCTGGAGCAGGGTTACCAAAGCGACATTGTTTTCATTGTTCATGGCAAATCCTTCTGTGCCCATCGCTGCATCCTCAGCGCTCGCAGTGCCTACTTTGCAGAGATGTTTGAGACCAAATGGAAGGGGAAAAATATGATAGTGTTGAAGCATCCACTGGTGAGCAGGATTGTTTTTCCAGTTCTTTCCTTTCTTTTACTGTTCCAACTACGTGAGAAAAGTGAGTAGGAAAGACAGTTTGAGGATTAACTTCCACAGCGAGTAGCTTCTGGAGCTCAGAATGACCCAGGTTGAGGAGAAGTAAAATGCAGTAAAATAGCATCTTATGTAGATAACAAAAGGCTGCAGACTGTGTACTTCCCCTTTGTTCCCTCTGTCACATATCTTAATTGCAGTACCAGGTAGCTGTTACCATCTGCCAGCTGCATCACAACCCCTCTGTGGGATGAGTTAGGTCTTTCTAATTCCTGGTGGACAGGTGGTCTGTGGTGAAGACATCACCTCCATAATTGGTACTAATTGAGTCCCTTTTGTTGTCTTTGCAGTAATAACTAAATAGGCCATAAGTACATTCCATCCATTAATCACCAATGCTCCAGCACATTTCCCTTGACTCTGGCTGTGCAAAACCCCTTCTAAAAAACATACTTCCAGTTTCTCTGGACATTGCTCTCCTTTCTCTTTGTGCAAGAACATGTCTTTCCTCTCATATTAAGAAGGGGTGGAAATGTTTATGACCAGTGCAAAGCTGGATTTTACAGAGTCTGTATTACAACCATGTCTTTGGAACACCTCCATTAGTCGAGTCCTGTCCCCTGAGGCACTTGGGGGATTAGTATCAGTTGATACAGTAAAGAGCTGTGTAAGCCAGGTGGAGTGACAGCATGAGGAGCAAGGAAGTGGGGTGCAGTGTGTGAGTTGTTATTTAAGTGGGGTTTTTTTGACTGTTCAGGATCATGTTTCAGGCTTGTTATTAAGTTTATGGGAATTCTAACAGTAACTTTCTCATGGTTTTTGGTTTTTTTTTTTTTTAGATTAATCCAGCAGCCTTTGGTGCTCTTCTGCAGTATCTATACACAGGTAAATGACTTACCCTCAAGTGCATGTGTTTGTGGCAGGAGGGCAGCTGTCTGCACCCCTGCAATATCACTGTTTGAGTGGCCCAGGCTGCACTTAGCTGTGTTAGGGTGCACCAGTCACCAGCACATCCTTCCTGCTGGCAGAAGGGGAGAATGTGAGCAATCACCTGCTCTTCCAAATTGTTTGTACCTTTTGCCAGTTGTTTTCCTGCCAGTAACTATGCAGTCAATTAAAAACAAAATCAGCTTGGGTTGGTTGGTTGGATGGATTTGGAGAATGTATTTTTAACTTAAGGAAGGTAAAGCCAGGTTCCCACATAAAACATTTTCAGTCTGGCAGACCTGAGCAATGTGTGCTGAAAGCTTTGACTACTCTCTAGGTTTGTTTTTTTTTTTGAACAGAAATTAATCCCAAACCTTCTCTGAAAATGCCCAGTGTTGTATTGTAGGTATGCTAAGTGCTGAACTATCTCAGGCCAGGAGGGGGTGCCAGAAAGTAACGTTTCCTGCAAGGTTCTCCTTCCCCAGTCCAGTGTGTTCAGAAATGTTCCTTGTCATGTTTTCAGTGATTGTAAAAGATTCTGGGATGACAACTTGTGAGCCTAAAGTCTTCTCTTACCCAAAGCCAGGCAGCCAGTGGTGGCAGTCATGCCTGCTACTGTTGTGCTGCTATTTTTTTCTTTTCTGAGGGAGTTAGACATGTTTTGTGTAGCCTGTTTGGTCTTTGGACTCTTGAATGAAGCTATTAGGATAGACCCTGGAAAGTGGGAGTGTGAATTAAATGCCAAACTGTGATTGATAAGTAGTGGGTGGTGGGGTACCAAGTCTTAGCATCTGGGAGCGAGTCTCAACTGCATGCTGAAAAGTGAGGCAGTGTAACTGCTGAATTTCTGTGCCATCAAGTCTTCAGACTATAACTTTTTGCCATTTTTACACCTAAGTCCATGGGTTAAAAGAGCTGACTGCATTCCTTCTTGACAGGTCGTCTTGATATCGATGTAGAATATGTCAATGATTGCAAGAGGTTGGCCAAGCAGTGCCGGCTGCAGGACCTCATCGATGATTTGGAGACCAAATGTAAAAAAGTCTATGAATTTGGTAAGCATTTTACTTGCTGTTGTCTCTGCTGTGCCTGTGTGCCCTTTCAGGGAGAAACAGGGAGGTGTGATGGTGGATGTTTCATGGTGTCCTTGGGGCTTCCAGAAAATGATTCTGTTGTGGAATTCCCATGTTTGCATGATAGTTTTCAGTCGTGGCCTCTCTGTAGAGCAGCTATAGTGGTTTCTGACACATGCATGTTTATCATTTGTATTGAATGTTTTCATTACAGTGGTAGCAGGACTTTGCTGTGATTGCCAGACATTCAGTGGAGCATGATGGGGTATATTGGGAAGTACCTTTTAGCAGAGAGCTTGTTTAAATCCCTGGGGAGATAAAATATGTACAGTTAAAAGTAATTTTCTGAGTTTATCTGACCCTTAACCAAAGTAAAATGTTTGATAATTGGCCCAAAACGAGTGCAGAGGGAGATATAACACTTCTTTTAAAAGCAGAGAAGTATTTCTGAAAGTGTGCATGTATTAATAACACATGGATGTGCCAAACCTTAAGTGACACAATCCTCTATTTAAGGACTTTTTGTTATCCAAATAGCTTGTGATCGAATCATGACATAAGCTTATTGCATGAAAACCAACACTTGGAGTTTATCATCATCTCTTTAGCTCAAGCTAAGGGACACGTGAAGAGGAATCAAAACAGCACAAGTAGGGCAAAGTGGTGTTAGTCATAAAGTAAAAAAAAATAATCAGGTAACAAAACCTTCAGGCTGAAAACATCTGATTATCATTCCATGCTCTGAGTTAAATCTTTTACTTCAGTCAAGTAAATTTTGGTTTGAGAAGAGACTCCAGTCTGTGGCTTTAAAGTCAATAGCATGTTCTTCTCTGATCAAAGAGGTAAGGGTCTAACTATTCCATCTTTCCCTTTTGAATACCAGTTGTGATTATTCAGCCTCCTGAAGTCGCAGGGCTCAACTGATAGAGAAAATACTTCTGGCTTCAGAAATTCCTCATCTACAAATCACATGGAAGATATTACCATGTGTATGTCTCCCCTTGGGCACGTGCAGTTGTTTGGTGGGGGGGGGTACAAGATCACTGAGGTGCAGCTATTCCCATGTAGACCAGGGTGCAAGTCCTTATGGAAGCTGTATCATAAGTCTTACTTCTGCCATGTAAACACAGATGTAAACATGGATCTGAAGAGATGAGAAATGGATTTCTTGGTTTCTTGCTACAAAAAGTGTAAGATACTGGTTTGTATTAAGTAAGTGGTAGAAAAGGGAGTGGTGAATGAATATAAAATAAAAATTACTCAGACAATCAGGTAACAAAATTATCTTGTGGCATCTTTTGATGTCAGAGTAATTCAGTGAAATGCTGGAGATCTGTTTTTTCCTTTTTATCTTTTTTCCCAGGATCTAGCTGAGACACTGAAGGCGACCATTCCACCTTAATTCATCTAGTTAAAATCTCATATTGTATTGTGGGAGGAAAATAAGGTGCTTAAATTTGTGAACTTCAGGAAAGCTGACTTCTTGGTGGGGTTTAAAAAGGAAAATGAAGTAAAGTTTCAGGTTAGTTGGAAGTTTCTGATACAAGCTCCACTTGGAAATGTAATGCAAATTTCCTGGATGGCATCAGACAAATAATTTAATTTCTGTGTTCTTTGGGACAGGAACAGTTGCTCTTCATTTCTGAGGCCTGACAGAAGATGTACTCAATGGGTGGTGTAAAGCACTGATGGAAATACTAAGCTTGATTTTTATTATGGCAGGTTGAATTCAAAGGAATAGACAGAACTGCTGATAGGTCTGTTAAAAGTTTGTTTGTTGTATCAGATCTCATATGGAAGCCAGGAAAATTTGATTCTGCAGAAATTAATGTATGTAAGACTTACAGAAGTTAAAAATTGAAAAGATCTTAGATCACATTGTGTCTGGCACTTGACAAAGCATTATTTCGAGTGAATTAGAAACCTCTGCCTGCTCAAAGTGCTTCGTGTGGAGTAGACATCTGATTCAGGTCTGCAGAGCAAGGCCATGTCTTGCATCTGTATTATGAAGTTGAAATGTGAAAACAACACTCAAGCCTCTGAAGCTCCACTGGATAATTGCAGTCTCTGCAATCTCATTATCTAGAGTTAATCAGTATTTCAAAAGCACTTAGTATCTTGGCATGCACAGACAGTTTAGGAAGAGGATGACCCAGTGCCTTCTGTTTCACCTGAGATATACTTGGGTGTGAATGCCTGTCTATTTTCCTTCACATGTGTATTGTGACTATAATGAGAAAAAACTATTGCAGTGTTTGGAAGAGCTCAAACAATTTGTCCAGATTAAGCCATAATCCTTCCTTTAGAAGCATATGTATTAGAAATTAAATGTTTTGCAGTTATTTCGGCAAGTTTTAGGGCAAAGAGGGTGAGAACAAGGTTTGTCATGCTTGCCTTTGTAGCAGAGACACTGGCTGTACGGAATCTGTGGTTATAGCTAATTGTGGCATTGGGAGGAGGATGTGTCTGAGTGTGGCATCACTTTGAAGGGTTTGAAATGGGAGTTTGTGTGGCTTTTGTGGCTGCATTGGCTCAATTTAAACAAAAGACTACAGAGAAGTATTGAGCAATAAAACCAAGGCAGCTCATGAAGTGGTAGATGATGTTCAGTGCTGTGCAGCCAGGCTAGACTTGGGAAGAAAGACACAATCCTCTGTTCTCGACTTCAGCCATAGTTGGGTTGCTCCCTCGAGCTCCTTGCATTGTTTATGCTGCTTTTTTTAGAACCCCCTTCATTCCTCTTTCCTGCAACAAGGTCATGATCCCTACTGCTTGCTTGCAGCCAACAGCTTATTCCTATTTCACCACTTTAATTTTTGTTGTCTCTGTTAGGAAAGATTTGCGTGTGATACCGAATGTTGTTCCCTTGTATTTGAGAGATGCAGTGTCTGAATAGATTTACTTCTCAGACAAATCACTGTTCTTTTGTGTGTTGCTGTGAAAGGGCACAGATGCTCTGTGGATCCCAAGAGAACTCTTTGCCTTGACTACTGCTTAAAACTTGCTGGTCCATTAGCACTTACAGAGCCTGACTGATCTGGTGACTGTTACAGTAAGCACTACAGAAATATGAATGATTCTCTCTGCCAAAAAGAATTTCTAATTTCACAGTGAGAAATTTGCTTCTCTCACGCTGGTCTGTAAGTGGACAGGGCTCTTTGAGAAAATGCACTCAGTCTGGTTTGTGTTGGTGCCAGGTCTCCTCTTGGCTTATTTACCTTGGAAGTCATCTATCTGAGGGTAGTGTTTCGTGCTAATAGGGCAGCCTTTCTTCTTGCTGGTGAGCTTTGTGTGTAGCAATCCTGGTACCTGGCTATTTTGTCCTGGTGGATTATCCTTCTCTTTCCAGTAATCTCTCTGGGATATGCAGCCTATTTCGAAGTACAGTGGTGGCATATCTGAAGGGTGCAGCAGTGATGTGGAGGAGGGGGCGGAAAACTTCTTTTGTGGCACGTTGTGGTCTTGTTTCACCCACGACCCAATGGAGTCATCCGATGGAGCTCATGTAATGCTGCACAAAATGTCAGGAGAAATGAGGTCTCAAGGTGGCGTGATTCACCTGTGAGGGGTTTTAATGCCATGAATCATACCTGTCAGAAATTTTTCTGAATGCCTCATAGTTAACTCTGCATCTCTCTGGCTCCCAACAGCATCTCAAGCCTTCCTCACCACAACTTTGCATTTTCCGGTGGTACTCTGTGTTTTTTCACAAGCTTCTCCATATACCAGGGACTCTTGAACATCGTACGTGTTCTAGTCCTCGCCCCAAACCATGCTGACCTGAAAACAAACCTGAGGTGGGGAGCTGTGGGACAGAGGTGGCCAGAAAGAGGAAAGGCTGTGCTGGTGGTGGTATCGCAACACAACAGCTGGGTGTACTTTGAGCTGCTGCTTGTTTGAAGTTAAGATTGGCTTCTGTGAGCTCCACAGGAACTTTGGTCATAGCAAGGCCACTAAAGTATGATCATGTGTTTTGCTTTCCCTTTATTGGGCGGTTTTATTGAGTAGGCTGATAGGGCAAGACAGTAAGACACACTAGGTCTGAAAAAGGCAAATTAAGTTGCTGTCTTTGAATGATTTATTTGAGCTCTTTGGTGGTAGTGATGCTTATTTAACGTTTGCAGAGAACACAGGCACATGCAGGAGTCTGGGTGCTCTGGGGGTCTTTGTGCTTTGGGGATCCACAGATAGAGAGTAGAGGACAGACTCGTGCATGCAGAACTTACTGGCTAAACAGGAAGAAATCCCTTTGTTCCCTGCAGTGAAGTTAAGATGGGACAGCTGAAATGGGACCCATCAGAGCACATGACAGAGCAGAGAGGCATGGAAGCAGAATAATTTTAACTAAGACCTCCCTGGCATGGGCTTCACCTTAGGTGACACTGTCAGCAGTAGGGGTGGTCGGCTGGGGAAGGCAGTGTATGAGTGGCTCCTACAGGGATGAGGGTATCCTGATCCATGGTCCTCAACTGTACTTGATGACATGGATTGCAAAGAGCAAGTTGGGCTTGAAATATGCCTGTGACAACTTTGTGTTTCCCACAGTTGATTATCCAGCATAAGCAATTAAGTGGAGGCTTGAGGAGAGACAACAATACGTGCATCCCCTTCTAGCCCTGCTCACCAGCTGTACTGAGGGGTGCTGAGTGTGTGTTTACAGAGAAGAATTGTGTGTGTTTTGCAGTAAAAGCCACATAGCAATACTGATTTTCCTGGAGTGTCTCTTATCTAAACGGGAGAGAATGTTTATAGAGGAATTTAGGCATCTCTGCTCTCTTTTTTTTTGCTTCTTCCAGTCTCTTCCAAGCCAGGGACCTGTGTGAAAGTGCTGACGATTGAGCCCACAGGTAACTGCCGGCTGCAGGAAGATCTGGCTCTTCTGGCAGACTGCGCCCTGCCAGCCGAACTGCGGGTAGGGAGCACTTCTACTCCTTCTGCTCTCCGTGGGGCTGGGATATCTGGGCACACATGTTCACTTGTGTTTTGCCATTTAGAGTTTAGTGCTTGCCTGTTTTCTTGTGCTCCAAGTGCTGAAAGGCTTTTATTGCTGGGAAATGCTGTAAAATTGTTTAATGGGGCTGTCAGTGCTGGTCCTTCCCCTTGGATTTTCCCCCCAGCAGGGATCTTGTAAATAAAACCCTTTTCATGTGGTTGGTGGGGATTTCCCCAGTGACTGCAATGGGACAAGAGTTGACCCTCAGCTCTTCTCTGTGCCATCTTTCTCGAGAATTAGAAGTGTTTTAGCAGCAGGCATTGGTACCCACAGGGACATGCAGGTGGAAGGTGGCTTGCTGGGGACTGACACTATGCAGTGGAGAGGTGCTTTCAAACCCTGAAAGTGTTTCCGGCAGAAATGTGAGTCCCTCTGAAGAGAATTTAACTTGACTGGCAATAGATCTGCTTTTCCTAACTATGTCTTGACCCTTAGAAATAGCCCCCGAGGTTGATGATGACTGTGTTAAAATACCATCAGTTTTATTAATTAGGATCATATATATAGATCTTCTCTCCCAGTTGCAGAAGAATGGGGATAAGTATTAATGATCTTTATTCTCCCTGCATCTGGTGTTTTCTGTAACATCATCAGATTCATTTTGCTCTTATGTATGCCCTTTTTTCCCCCTCATTCTCATACCAACCACTATATTTAATAATGTGGACTCATTTTAGGTGGCTGCTGTGCCCAGAGTTCGTATGACTGAGTGATATAGCACAGCTTATTGCCTTTTTTCTTTCTGTCCCCTGCCAAATAGACCTGCCTGGTGCAAGACAGCACATGTGTGTGTCAGTACATGGATAAGGTTTCTTACCTTAATAGGCCAATATGTTTTGTACTGGCTTTTTTCAGACATATTTCTTTATAGAGGGAGTTTTTCTCCATCAAGTTTACGATTACCAGTACAGGAATCTTTCCTGCATAGCCTGCCTACTCCAAATAACCGTGCATTTGTTTGTGGCTTTCAATATACTTTTCTGTATGCTTGCAGGTTTTAAAGGGAGGTGATACTATAAGTAAGCCTCAGACCACCTCCCCAGGAATTAAAAAAAGGATAAAGGACCCCAAACAGTGAGATTTACATAAATTTTTAAGTCACTTCACAAATAAGAAGAATACATCCTGTTTGATTGCTTGTTTCCAGACCTTAATGACTGTTCTTCTAGAGGGTTAGAAACACTTTCCTTTTTAATTCTTTCATGTAGAATAGGGGCTGGAAGGAAAATAGGAAAGTTGCAATAATGTAATCATCTGACAGCAGTGTAAATTGTGAGCTGTGGTTTGCTTGCTGTGTTCATGGATCAGAATGAAGGCAAGCATTAGAGTTGTTATGGCTGTAGAAGTAAAGAGGGCATGGGCACACATCTGCTCACTAGAGAATTTGTGTGCCATGCACAAAGGTAGATGTTTTGTTTAACCCTGATAAATTCTAAAAGATTCTAATTTTTCTCTTTTTTTGTGATACTTTTTTTGTGATTAACTTACAAAGAATATATGAACAAAGCTCTTCATCCTAATACCATTTATATCTCATCCTAATGTTTCCAAATTGTTAAATTCTGTGAATCAGGCATGTTTTCTCTGGGACAGAGGCATTGCACATCCTCGTTCTTCCAGGGTTTGTTGCTATACAAGGAATAGTATACAAACTATGTAACTTAAAATGTCAGGGATAACTAAATAGTCACGTACAAACATTCATGTTCTCAAGAGAAACATCCATTATTTTTTTCCAGCCTATGCAGAACAAAATAGGTATTTGGCTTCTGGATAAAAGCCAGAATTTCCAGAATTTGGCAAGAAACATTTGTAGCTGCTGCATGTTATGTAATGCCATATTATATGAAATAGGGATTTGTACAGCTTGCTGTTTCAATATAAACAAATAATTTGCATGTAATGTCTTTGATACTTGAATGATGCAGGAAACTGTGCATCCCAGTTTCATAGTTCAGTAATGTAAAACAATAATGAAAATTTGATATCCAATTACAGTTCATTATTATTTTCTAGGGTGAGAACTATCTATTCTTTGAAATCTTAAACACGTTTATAATTCTGGTAACTTGTTTCTCTTTCCTGTTTATGCTTGGAAGCCTTTTTTGTGTTTTTCAGTGTTTGCTTCTGCAAGTGTGTTCGTTGTCTCTGTTTTGTTTTTGCGAGTGTGGTTGTGTTCTCTGTTTTGTTTTAAAGTAGTAATGGCCAGGATTTTTCTGACCACAACAGCTGCTTCCTCAGTTTGTTGCAATAAAATTTAGTAGTGACAGTTTTAAGTCAAATATCATCAAAAGCCAGGCAGCTGTCAAAAACCATGTGGCTTCCCACTGTCTGCCTGCCTGGCTCTTCATCTCATGTCTGCCAGGTGACCTCTGAGTTAGAAACTCTAGGGCTTCCAGTATATGAGACTGTAGGCACATGGTTTTCTTGTGATTGTTTTTCAATTACCTTTTAACTGAGATCTTATGTTCCAAACCAAGATGAAATCAGACCTAAAAGGATCAGAGTTTGCCACGAAATAAATATTGTTCTTTATCTATATTGTCAGTTGGTGTGGCTGCCAAAAAGTGACCATTTGTCACTTTTGGGGTCAAACTAAGTCTTGCAATGCGTAGGAAGAACAGTTTGAAACAAGTAGATGGGTTCCATTATGTCTGACTCTGCATCTGTGTGCTGGAGTTGTCCATGGCATTTACTCCTGTGCTTTGCTTCGCCCATTTGGCAGAGGCAGATTAACTGAACTATTTACAACATGCTTCCAGTTTAGTTTTTTTTTGTATCCAATCCACTTGCATCTGGTTATGAGCTGCTAATCTTCTCTTGGATCACTAACCCCTGTATTTTGTGTTGTAATTTATTTACAATTTTCTTGCTGAGATAATCTGGCCAAGGTACAAATTGCTGCCACTGATTTGTTTTGTATGTTTTTGCCTTCAGCAACGTTTCTATTTAAGCTCTAATAGGAAATTTAGCGGTGAAGACTTGGTCCTCCACATGTGATGGCTGGAAGATGCTGTGAATGTTCAAGCAGTCTTATGCTGTAGAGTGTTGAGAATTTTTCTATATGGTGATTGAGTTATGTGGAATGTGTTTGCACTTCATAGGTTAGACTGTGTTGTGCTTCCTGGGCAGCATACTTGACTTTGGCAGCTGTGCTTTGCCTGGACAGAGGCATGTGAAGAAGGTTGTATGAATAGGGGTAGTGGGAGGAATAAGCTAATTTTCTGCAGGGAGATCCTGAAAGGGAGATTAAATTCCTCAAGCATGACAAGGGAGGAGAGTAGAAGTAGTAGAGACTTGAGAGGGGAGTAAAAGGGAAAATTCTGCAAAGCCACTTCATGCAGAATGGGAGAGACAAAGACATGAACCTGCTTTTATAGTAGAATTGGAAATGACTCTATAACCTGAGCATCAGAGTGGGGACCAGGAAAGGCTAGAGGTAGAAAATTTAACCCAGAAGAGTTTGTAATCAGGGAGACAAACTCTGAAACAAATAAAACTCCAATGTCCATTCCAGAGGGATGGATTCCTTTTAGATATTTACTTTTGAACAGTGAAAGGAGAGCAAAGAAGGGATGCACGTAGGATATGAGGAGTTTGTCTCAATTACAATTCCTGCGCCACAGAGTGGCATCTTATCAAAGCCTGTTTATGGGTTTGCTTTACCTGTGATGTGCCTCCAAATTTGTAGCCTTCGAAGTCATGTCAGAATTTCTAGGAGAGGACATGGAAGCTGTCACACAGGGTGGGGATAGCAGCAAGGCAAACAGAGCAGGCAGTTGGATCATGATGCTGGTGTTTTTAATGCATTGCTCAGAGTGAGGCTGCAGGTCCCCAGACCATGGTTGGAACCAAGGACCAAAGCCTTGAAACATGAGACTCAGATAACAATAAAATAGCAGCATGGAGAATCTACAGGTGGGACAGTCTGATCTCATCTTCAGTGCTGGAGGTGCCCTTTGTGTTACAGCTGTATGAAAAGCCGGTGATAGATCATGTGGGCAGCATTCCTTGAATTGCTACATCTCTTCTGGAACAGGAGTTTCCCAGTGGAGCAGGAGAGAGGTGCTATGGAGAGCCAGCATTACTGTGACAGCCATGTGCACGATTTGAATGTCCCTGGGCTTATCCTTTGATTAGGAATCAGAAACTGCCAAGTGTTGTTGTGGACAGACAAAGGGCTTGGTAAATGGGTCCAGGTTGCCACGTTCACTGGTGGCGTGAGTTTTTGCCAGCTTGGTGCCTTGCTACATCTGAGAACATATTTTGTGAGAAACCTCACTGCACGTGAGCTGAGCTTGGCCGAGAGCACCAACCCAGTCTGTTGTTGCAGGCTGTGTCTTTGTTGCAGGCTGCTCGGGAGGGAGGAGTCACCTGCTCTTCAGTAAAGCTGAAAGTCAGCTGCTTTCAGTCAGGATGGAGGCAGGCATGTTGGAAATGGTGCTTAGGTAGTCTGTGATTGTGAGACTGATCTTTATGGTCAGCCTGGGATTTTCCCAGGTGCAAGCTTGGGTGTAGTTTTCCTGGATGAGACAGAGCAGGAATAAACTCCTCGGCCCAGATAGCTCAGGGGCATGTGCTTGGAAAGGAAGAACCAGGGGAAACTTTTGTTTCCAGAGATTGTCTTGGTTACATGACTGTGAATATAAACTTTTTTTTTTTGTTACAGTTTAATTACCCTGTATACAGGATAAGGTGAAAGTGAAAATATTTAGAAGTGTCACTTTAAAGTAACATAAGGCAAACAGATTCTTTTTTGTGTGTGTCTGCTGTCATGGTTGGCATGTGGGACTGGGTGGAGGTGTGTTGGTGTTAAAATAATTCACTAGAGTATTAATACTGCAACAACACTGGTTTTGGCTGCAAATCAAAGCAGAAATCTGAAATGTGCTTTAGCAATGTTGGATTATTCAAGTGAGGCAGTAATTATACCCAAACCATTTCAAACTGGTGTATACATCAATGTAATCTGTATGTTACTACATATACCCAGTAAAAGGCTAGTCCTAAGCTCTAGTATGCTTATGATACCTATTACATGCCTCCACTTGGTTATCTGCCTTGTTAAATGGCACAGAAACACCTTCCAGAGGATCATGAAGTTTCCATAGATAACGGAGACAGCTGTGACTTGTACCAGGAATACCTCTGTCAGGAGTGCAAGTTCTCCAGTTCCTCACATTGAAATCTGTGTTCAGAGCGTCTCTGGTGCTCTGCACTGTGCTGAAGGAATAGGTGGATGAATAGGTGGATGATGGTTTCCTCCTTGAGTCCAAACTTGGGACCGTGAGCGTGTTTAAAGCATGAATGTTTTAGGCAGGGGTTTCTGGTTTTTCTTCCTAGGTTGGTTTTGGGGAGTTGCCGTTTGACAGCACCGACAACTTTAACAGCTGTCCTGATGTGTGTTTCCGGGTGGAAGATTACAACTTCTTGTGCCATAAGGTATGTGCTTCTGCTCTACTTCCTTCTCCTTCCCTTTTGCTGAGACTCTGGTCTACCTGTGCCCTCCCTCCTTTTATGCTGGATACACTCTGCAGGAGCAACATTGCCTCATCAGTTGCAAAACCAAAAGCATTATTGCAGCTGGAAAACTACATTTAAAGCATTTAACCAAGCAGCAAACCCTGCCTTTCTTGCAGAGATAAATAGATAAATTTATAGATTTGGCTACAGCGTTCACAGCTGAAGAATCTCCTGCTGCTTGTTTGTTCAGTGTCTGGAGAGTGGAATTTTGATCTGCAGGTGAACAGCAGTAAGAATAGATTTTGAGATCCAACCTCCAACTCAAGGTCCTGCCCTAATGTCATGCTATTTTCAGATCTCTTAAGTTTGCAAATTGTGTTTTTTGTTCTGACAGTAGGCATGTATAGAAATAAGGTATGGAAAAATGTTGGAGATGTAGCTTCAAAATAAAGGGAAAATCAGAGTTACAGGGTCTGAACTTCTGAAATATCTTTCAGCTGCTCTGATAGCCAGCTGGGAGTGCCCTTTGGTTTGGTGCAGTGAGTTTTGGTTTTTCTCCCCTCTCCAGGCATTTTTCTGTGGTCGCAGTGATTATTTCAAAGCCCTCCTTGAAGATCATTTCAGTGAGAGTGAGGAGCTGCAGACACAGCCCAGCATCCCTGTGGTGACACTCCACAACATCTCAGAAGACATCTTCATCCGGGTCCTCTACTACATCTACAGTGATGATACAGAGGTGAGACCAGCCATTGGTCCTTTCCTTCTGTGCTGATTAGTGCTGAGATGTCTTGAGCAGTGTTTTTCTACAACACCTGGAGCAGGGTGTGTGTGGGGGGGTGGGGAGTGTCTTCCTTAATTCCACTGACCTACTCTGCTACCTCACTTTTGTCTCAGGAACCGACATACTGGGACGTACTGTTAGCCAGGCAGGGTTTTAGTTCATATGCATGATGCTTATGAGCAAATCCCTATTCTTTTATCACATAATAAAAATCTGGAAATGAGGTTGCACGTTCTTCATTGACATGATAAACGCAGGGCGTTGCAGCTTTCCCTCTTTGGCTCTGTGGCAGGATAAGGGGAGCAGCTGCCAGTAGATGGCAGATTGAACACATTTGGAGATGTGGAAGTGCTGAGAGATTTTGCTTATTTACTCTTGGCATCATAGCCTACTTTTCCATTTGTAGCAAGTCATTATTTCCAGAGTTATTTATTGCTGGGGTAGGCAGAGGTTCCTCTGGGAGACCAACGCCTTGCTGTGCTCAGTATTGAAGGCAGTAACAAAATGGCCCTAACCCACCTAGTTTTCAGCCTAATGGAAGGTGCAGCAAATAGCAGCATTTAATTAGTTTCCTGCTTTGGTTTTGTGGCAAATGCTTTCAGCGAGGTCTCGCTACAAGATCTGAGAACACATTCTGGCATTAGGGCAACGATCAGAGACGCTGCTGCACCTGCCAGTGTCACTTCTCCCAAGCAGTGTTTGTGCTTTGGGGTAGGTGCCACATGCAGGGAGTGCACACAGCTGTGACCTTGTTTCTGCTGAGCTGTTCACCTCCAGGCAGTGGTAGGGAGAGATGTTTGGCAGGCAGCAAGGGCAGGATTGCCATTGGTATGCCAGAGAGCAGATCCTTCTTGTCTGCACTCTTCCCTCAGCCACGCGCTGAAGGGGCAGGCAGAGGGGGAAAGAAGCTGCTTGGGGTTGTGAACTTGTGACTGCACCACAGCGTGACCCTGTTCCCTTGCACCTCTCCAGTCTGCTTGCCCTCCTCGTGATGACTCACAGGAAGGATGTTTCCAAACAGCTATTCCTTTCCGAGGGATGCCTCAACTGTCCTGTCTGGGTTTGAAGCAGGAGGACAGACCAACAACGAGTAGGAGTCGAAAGGATCTTGCTCATGTGGTTTCTGTGCAGAATGAAACCTTGGGTTTCAAACTGAGCAGCCAAGCTATGAGCCTCTGCAGACAGTTCACCTCTCATGAGAAACTGCCAGGAGAAATGGTCAGGAAAACAGGAATATAGCTCAAGTTCCACACTTCCATATGGAGTGTTCTCTCTGCCCTGCAATTCTCAAACCAAGTATCAGCATTCTCAATTGCATGTTTCTTTTTCCAAATGATTTATGGTGTCTCTCTGCCATGTAGTAGTGACAGTGTTTGCAGTTGTGGGGAAGAGCGTGTGCTGAGGACATAAAGAGTTCCAGGCACAAAAAGAAATTGCTGATCAGAATACTCGTGGGGGCTCAAGGGCAGCTTTTGCAGGAACGTTTGCCAGGTTTGTCCTTGATCAAGCAGTTGGGGGCTACAGCCATCAATACTGCTGACTCAAATGCCTCCAACTCCTGAGGTTCCTGGAGCTTATGAAGGGACAAAGCAGCACTTGATTAATAACCCCAAGAGCTTTGTTACCCCACTGTGCATACAGGCCTCGTGGTGTGCCTCTTGTACATCTTGCATTCTTCTGCACAGCTGCTGCAGGGTGTTACACAGCTGAGGCACTTGCTGTGAGCTCTCTCCAAACACGGGTGCAAACAGCTGTGGGGGAAGAAGTAATCTGCTGTTTGTGGTTGTCAGAGTGAGCAACTGAGCAACCACATGTGTAGATGTGGACAGTAGTGTGTTTGCTGCTGGCTGGTTATCAGGGCAGAGTCCCATGCTGCAGCCAGTTACCATTGCTCAATCCAGACCAGTGCCATTTGGTCTCTAAGTGCAAGGGACCTCAGCTCCTCCACGGCCAGGGCATGCTGCATCCTGCAGATCTGCTGTCAAAATGGATGTGGGGAGCTGTGCTCTTTGCAATTCACAGAAGCAGGAACAGAGAGGCTCTAGTTCCAGGTTAGTGACGCAGATGGCTGACTAAAATAGGATTTGCCCGGCCAGGGGGAAGAGACTGAGTGAAACTGGAGGTGGTTTCTCCGACATTATCTACAGCATTTTTATCCTCAGATCACTTGCAAGTACCCAAGAGGGAAATGGGAGGGTGGTTCTCTAGCTCAAGAACCTGAAAATGTTAAAGGCTGTTCACAATAGTTCAAATTTGAGCATCTAATGCATGAATTTAATTCACTTTCAATTCCTGTTAAAGCTCCAGTAGTATTTGATGTGCAAAATATGTTCCTCACCTAGCTGGGCCTCACTTACAGTTTATTTGGGGTACAATTTTTTTGTCCTTGGGTGTACCCCTGTGCCAGGGAGGTTGTGCTGGGTGAGTTAGCAGAGCCAGTCTGAGCAAGGAACTTAAGAGAATTTTGCATGTTTTTCACAAAATGTGAGTCTAGCAGTATAAGATGGGAGGAAAAATGTGGGGATAAGATTCTCTGTCCTGCCAGTCTGTTCTGTTTGTCTCTTTGAAGTACATCTGGTAAAAGCTACCTCCTTCCACTGCCACACTGAACACTTCTTAGGAGCCAGCTTTCAGGTGCACTGCAGTGTTTCAGCCCTGCTCTGTGCTTAGCTAGAGGGGTTATGTGCAGCATGAGAAACTTCCTGCTGCATTTGGAACCCCTCTGTGGTAGGAGTGGGAGACCCAGCCCGAAAGATTGAGGTCCTCTCTCTCCATAGTTAACACTTGTCCAGTAATGGGCCAAACAACACTTTAGTTTGCCAGAGACAAGTCATGTGCTTAGAGCCAGACAGTAATTCTCATTTTTTCATTACCAGCTGTCACCAGAAAATGCCTATGACGTGCTGTGTGTGGCAGACATGTACCTGCTGCCTGGGCTCAAGCGCCTGTGTGGCAGGACCCTGGCCCAGATCCTCGATGAGGACAACATCATCAGCATCTGGAGGATCGCAAAGCTGTTCCAGCTGACCCGGCTGGAGGACCAGTGCACGGAGTACATGGCAAAGATCATTGAGAAGGTACCAAAACACTCCCCGTGGCACTGACCACATGTACTCATAAATCTAACTGCACAGTGAGCCATAGAGACAACAGATTTTTTGGTTGTACTTTGGTCTGTACTAAATGGTTGGCTGCCCTGGATTAATGTGTTTCCTGAAAATGTGCAGCAGTTAAGTAGCAAAGCACATGGTGAGTTAGAACAGAGGAGGAGTGTGGCAGTACCTGATGTCACCCCAGTAAGCCACGTGCTGGTGGCTGTCTAGCACATCCCTGTGGACTGTGGGGTGAAAAACCTGCCCAAAAAGCTCTGCAGGTACCAGGGGCAGGTGATTTTCACTGAACTATCAGTCACTGTGCCCAGAGTGTTGACTGAATACACAAGCTTCAAGTTTCAGAACCCAATGGGTTGTGCAGGGAAGGTCTATTCAGGAAATGTTTTTCAGTGTTTGCTGGAGGGAGTTCTTCCTGGCATAATGCTCTAGAGAGGAGAAATCGATGTGATCTCTAATCTCCAGGATGACAAACCAAATATTAGGCGTTTGCACAGGGGAAATTGGCTGTTGAACAGCAAGAAGTAATGAATTTAACACTGAAATTTTCTTTATGGGGCTCCATTTAGTGTTATCTGTAGTGATTATAGTTTGAAGTTTCAGGACTCATGGAGAAAGTTGCCATATGGATGGATAAACTAGAATCTATGGAGTGTTTTTAACCTGAGGCAGATCTTTATAAATGGCTTGTACAGTTTGCATGGGAATGTAACATTTTCACCTACAGCTTAAAAGGTGTGAAATTATTTTTGGCATGTGAGAACAGTGAAGGAAATGATTCTAGGGCTGTTACTTTGTTCAGTGCATAGCTTGCACCCAGATTTTGGCTTCTGAAAAAGCTGCTGAATATCCCAAGTAGTGGCTGGGTTAGGGCTGAGGTAGGACCCAAAACTGGCAATGTGCCTTCCTAAGGGTGTTGGCACAGACAGAGCCACCCCAGCTGTTCAGACATCAGCCCTTGCCAGCATCTTGTGGAGATGCACTGATGGCAGCAGGGAGAGATTTTGGCAGTGTGGTAGCAGAGCAGAGCTCAGCAACCTGCTGAGTTCAGTGGGCACAGTTCAGTAGCGCAGACAGACGGAAGCTGCCTCTCACCCTTCAGCTCACCACATGTTCCTGGGGAACCTGATGGAGAATCATTCATGGGTGACCCAATTCTGTCAGGGTGGGCACAGAGCAGAGCAGCTGCCTTGCTGATGATGGTGGGGCTGAGTCATTGTGGGAGGATAGTCATCTATGGCTCCTAGTTCTGAACTGGGCACAAGCTTGTCTGCTACAAGACTTTTCCCCAAAGTGTCTGGCAACATCTCCTGGTTCCTGCTGAGGACCTTTCTCAGGGAATATTGTGTATGTGCCCCAGTACCAAGGCTGGGGCTGCTTAGTTAGACAGTGTTACAGTGTGCTGTTGGAGGTGCTTACAGTTGTGACTGTTTATTGTTGGAGTATTGTTGGAGTATCCTTAGAATGGATGGCAGGATGCATCTCCAAGTGGTGTCTGGAGGAGATGTAGGAAGATTTGGGTCTCCATGTACCCTTAGCATTCCTTTTTTTTCTATGGGGTCCTTTAACAGTGGCTGAGACCATTATCCCAACCCTTTATATTTGTTTACCTGTCTTCTTGTCTTCCTAATGGTTCTTTTGTCCATCCTGCCCAGCTGGTGGAGTTGGAGGAGTTTGCGGCTGCTGTGAAGGAGAACGCGGAGGCTGTGGAGGAGCGGCAGGAGACTGACTCCATTCCTCTGGTCGATGACATCCGCTTCCACATCACCAGCAATGTGCAGACTTACAGTGCCATTGAGGAAGCCAACCAGAAACTTGAAGCTCTGGAAAACCTCCTGGCCAGTATAGGGCTTGAGTGCTGATGAGTGCAAGCCCTGCTTGTCATATGCAGCCTGCGTAGCCCTCACTGGGTTGGCTCAGAGTGCAAGAACATCCCAGTTCCTCTTCTCATTCTTTGTCCTCCTTCCCATCCACTTTCAGGCATGATTTCTTTTTAATTTATTTGTGTCTGGACATTTGCATTTCTGGTTTGTGTTTGGTTTTATTTTGGTTTTTGTTTCTCCTTTCAGAAGTAGCTCCCAGAGCTCATCCCAAATCGTAGCTGCTCCTTTTTACAACACAGTGCAGACAGGAGACTGTGAGCTGTTGGGGGTGGTGATGGAGCTGTTTTGGGGACTTCTACTGCCTGGGGTTAGGACCCATCCTGTTCTGTTGCCCAACAACACACTTCTGGAACTGGCTCATGCCAGAATATTTGTTGAATTACCACCAGCAGAGGAAGAAAACTGGATTAAACTCTACAAATAAGTATATGAGAAGGGAGGTCAGCACTGTCACTGTCAGCATTTTAAGACTGGCAGAGGTGGGTAGTGCTTTCCCGCCAGGGACACAGAGGTACTTGACTATGTAGAAGGCACTGTCTTCACCTGCTATTTTAGTTCTTAGATGAAAAAAACCAAACAAAACAAAACAAAATAATTTCCAAGTCTTCCCTAGCATTTCATTGCTTTGAAGTGCTCAGAAAAAAAAGCTTTACTTTCTGAACAGGCATCTTTGGGAATACAGTAGAGACCAGAGTCCTTCCATTCTTAGAAAGCAGTAGCTTTCAATGCACAAAAGAAGGCAGAGCAACCCTTTTCTTCCTAACAGAGGAAGGAAACACCTTCTTCTCAGAAACAGCACTTTTCCCTTTCTTTTTGTCTATTGTGGTAGAGCAAAGCTGACTTGCTGGTGGGTCAGGGAAGAAAGGGCACTGGAAATCTTTTTTAAAAGGAAAAGGGGTCTTTTGGGGCCTCACAAGGCTGCTGTCCCACTCATCAGCCTTCTAGCTTTTCTCAACCTTGAGCTTTGTAGCTTCATTGTTCTCCAGGAAATTCACTGTTTGTACTAACGAATGTTTTTGAATCTGTGTTCTGCAGTAGGTCGTGTTATCTCGTGTTTTCTCCCTGGATTCCTAATGAGGGTAATGATGTTCTTTCTCCTTAGCACTAGTCAGCAGGCAGTACCCCTGCATAAAGCTTGTCTTGCCAAATAGGCTGCCCTTGGCGCTGTCCGTCTCTGGAATGGTGTGTCAGGAGAGTCTCTGGTCTCCAAGGCACAGGCTGGGTGTGCTTTGCTGTGCTGTGCATTGGGAGGGAGAGGAGGCACTGAGTGAAGCACATAGGGAATCTTGCACGGGCACTGGGCTGCCATTACCACTGCATATTGTCATTTTGGTCACTTTGTGAGGCAAGATTTTGAAATAATCTGTGTCAGGTGCGCTTTTATTGTGTGATGTGGGAACTGGACATGGATCCCTTGCAGCTTCAGGGTGTTGCTTTCTGTAATGGTGGTGGTGCCTCACACAGGAAAGGAAAGCACCTGCCTGTACCTGGCCTGCATTGAAGCTGTTGACAAGGCTGTGGGCAGGCTCAGGGCTGTGGGCAGGCTCAGGGCACCACCTGCTCTAGGCAGAGTGGGTTCAGTTGCAGTGACGAGGGAACACTGGGCTTTGGCCACTGTACTTAGGGGAAGCTGGACTTTGGCAAAATCATGTGACAGGATTGAGTTGCACTTAACAGAAGCTGGGGACAGAGGTGGGGCGGGGGGAGCAGGGATGAGGTTCATTGACATAACTGAGCCCCAGATGCTTGTGCACTTTGTCATCTGGGTTTAACTGGTGTCTCTTGCAGATCAAGTCTCAAGTTCAAGCAGGGCGTGCTTCAATTCTGTTTCAAAATGCTTGTGAGGAAGTGCAAGGAGCTGTTGTGGTTTGTTTTCTGCTGCCATATTAGTGTGAGGGAAGAGATGTGTCCCTGCAGGAGTGTGTTGCTGTGTGGAAGCAGGAAGCAGCAGGAGTGTGCTGGTGACGTGGAGAGAGCTGTACATCTGTGGAATGTACCTACACGTCCATCTCTGAGCTCAGTGTGGCTTTGACAGGACCCCTAAAGAGCCCAGCCCAACTTGTACTGATAAAAGCATCTCCATGAACTTCAGGAGGGGAAGGGCTATTAGGAAAGCTTTACTTTGAAGTCCCATATATTTTGGAAAAGAAGGGTGAAAGCAGAACTGCTTGTTTTCATGCTGTCAGGCTTATGAAAGCCTGATACAGAAACAGCTTAACCCAGCTGGTTCAGTTCCCCTGCGTTTCTCGTCCCTACATGGCTGAAGATGACACTGAACATAAGCAGGATGTTTAGTTTATCACATCCCTTCTACTCCTCCAGCATAAATTCCACATCTGACATCTCAGTAGTTGGCTTTCCACAGCAATGGCTCTGACATCCCTGCACAAGGCTTGCATGGAGCCACCAGAGAACAGAATGTGGCCTTTGCCTTCTGCTTGTACTGAGCGAGATGCAGAAGCAGGATTACCAAAGAATGTGTTAATGCTTTTCTCTGCAGATGCCTCAGCTGCTAAAGCAAATGGACACTGGCAATGGGCAAAGCAGGAGGGAGGCAGAGGAGTGGCAGCAGTGCTGGGAAGTGTTTTCCATATGGCTGCTCTTGAATAATTCCATTCCTGCGTCCTTAAGCGTGGAGCAAGTGAGGCTGCAGTTGTACATGTGGGAGGAAAGGTCAGTGTGGCCTTTTGATCTGCCTCCCCAGTAGTGCAAGTCCACGTGGGCTTCCAAGCAAATGCCTCATCTGTCTGCGTGCACTTAGTGGTCACATCTGTGAGGTCTGTCAGATTGTCCAATTACTCGAGATCCTTTAACCCCCCCATGCCTTTTGGCAAAATAGGGCTATCCAAAAGCATGCATAAGCAGATGGTCAGCATGCAGGCAAGCTCTCTAATTAAGATGAGCCAGGACAAACTTAGATTTGAATTCACTTTATTCTTGCTGCAAATGATTTTATCACAAAATAAAAACCTTCTGATTTTTCTTCTGTTGCCAGCGTCCTTTTTGTGTTTTGTTGCCTCTGTCCTTTTTATTTACTTCTAGCCACTTGCTGAAATAAAAAGATTGTAAAATTTATCAGAGCAACATTATATTTAAGAAGAAATGTGTAAGCATGTGTGCAGCAATAAAATAGTCTATTTCACTATATCTGTTGTGGCTGTGGCCTCTTTGTTACCAACTGACAACATCAGTGTGGCTTTATTTTCAAAAGGACTCTGTGGGCTCCTTTATTTTTTCTTACCCAGGCCAAGGGCTGGCTCTGCACTGCCTGGCTTCCAAGCTCTCCTCTCCTTGTGACCTGTTTGTACAGTCCTGACAGAACAGTTGAGTAAAGCACTGACTTGTTTTTACTGGCTGCTTTTTCCCAGGATTATTCCATTTCTTTAGTAGCACTGTGGCACAGGCTTGGTCAGTGTGGTGGGGGTGCGTCAGGGAGGTGATGTTTGCCTTGGAAAGTTGCTCTGGGCAGCCCTGGACAGGTAAGTTGTTCCTCCCTTTCTTCTTGTCATCCTGTGCCCCTGTCATTGCTGACTGGTCATTAAATCCAAGATGGAGATTTCTCAACTTTTGTATTTAACTACTCTGACTTGTTCAGTGCACTCCTGGAGTCTGAAGCATGTGTTTTCTCTGAAATCTTGAGGCTGCTGAAGTGCCTGGGCAGTCCTTTCTCTCTGAGAGCATAGGCATTGTTTTCTCTTTTGCTTTCTTGTATGGTGGCTACAATCATTTTGGTAAAGGCAGTAGCTGAGCTGTCTGTGCAGCCCCTGATGACTTCAGAGCACGACTGGCATTCAGGGAATGAGCATCCGTCTTGTCTCTGTTGTTCTGGGTAGGAACATGCAATTTTCATGGGGGGGAGGAAGGTACTAATAACATCTGAATGACTAATGCTGTTGAAGGGAGGATTTAGTAAAGTTCAAGGTTTAATCAGGTTTTTGGGACTCAACAACAGTGCACAAAAGGAGCATCATGCTATGAGAGCCTGGAGTAAGCAATGAGCCTCTCCAAGAGGCTTGAGCTGTTCATGTTGTACAGTCATGGTCAAACTGGAGATGGCACCTTCCAGCGTAACAGCTCACAGTCAGTGTGCATTGTCAGGCTCATCTGCTCAGGGTGACGCTGTGTTTTTCTCTCTTGCTGTGGGCAGCCTGGTGAGGCCCATCAGAGCCTGGGGAGCTGGATTGCATCTGTGCTCAGTTTCCAGAGGTGAATGAACCTCGCTGGCAATGGGAAACCACGATTTGGCTTGGTTCTCTTCTCACGGGGCTTGAGGTGTGCTGGCAGAGCAGGTTTTTGTTTTACCTTCTAAGCTGAAACAGATTTGACATAACAAATTGGTTAAGATAATAGAGGCCGCAGTAGCACGTCATTTATCAGAGTCAGGGCCTGTTTTGAATAAGAGCGCTGGCTCTGCTGGGGTTGCTGCATGCCTTGAAGAAGTGCTGAGGGAGAAGGGCAAAAAACTTTTTCTAGGTTGCAAATGGTTTCTAGAGTTCTCAGGCTGGAAATCGGAGGTGGGTTATTGGCAATAACCAAGGCGAGGGCTGCCTATTAATTAGGGGACAGCAGCCACATTTGGGTGCAGCTGTGGACATGCAGGTCCTTAAGCCAAGGTCAAGCTACAACTTCAAGCTTACATGTGAACAGCATCTGGGGAAGGGGGCCAGTGTGCACATGCCCTTTGCTTTTCCTGGTTGTGGTTAACTTTGTAAGCCTACAAGTGCAGGGCAAGGTTTGAAAGGCATTTCAGTAGACTAAAGAAAGCCTTGGAAGAGGATCAGTACCATGCAAATAACTAGCTCTGGTCCCAAGGGTCTGGCTGCTCGGTTCCCAAAATAAGCTCTCAGAAATGAGTGTGAGAGCTTTCCTCTCCCTCCTCCTGTTACCAGCAGAGCAAGCTCAAGGGGAAAGAGAGCAGGATTGGAAAGTGAGATCTGCTCGCTCCTGACGGCAGTGCTTTGCCAGTGGGTCTGTTTTGCTCCCTGCTGTTTGCTGGCTGTTGCTTTGGCATTGAGGGTTAGGAAAGGGATATGAAGGGAGTGCTGTGGTGTGGCCAGATGCATCCGTTCAGGGGCTCCAGGTAGGGTGGGGTTGATACAAAGTAACTTGATGTAGCTTTCCCATGGAGGAAATTGAGCCAGGTCTGTGTTGCACTGGAGTGTCGTTAAAACCCCAGTAAGAAAAAATGCCTCCCTCCTCTTTATTCTTTTATCTTATCACTTGGTTGTGAGCCAGGGTCATCCCAGTACCATTTGTACAAGGCTGCGACAGAGATGAACCGTGCGAGGCAGGCTGTGCAGAGACCTGCTCTGAAGGGAAGGCGAGTGTGCTAGTTACTGCTCCTGGAGATAGGCTTTAGGAGATGAAGGCTGATCTTTCATATCAAGGCTAAGATGACATTCTATCTCTCCCTTCTGCTCAGAAGGTTTTATTCTAACATATTCTTGGCACAGCATAGCAGAACCACCAATATTTCTATAAGTTTTATTAAGCTTGCTTCCATAATGGGAGCCAGCAATCTGCTCTCCAGAACTCCTTCCACCCCCCTTCTCCCTGGATCTGAAACTGAAAATTATCCAGGAGTTTCACAAAAGAAGTTTGTTGGTGGCAAGTTCAATATCCTTCCCTTTTCCAAAGGCTCTCTTTGAGAAGCTGACAGTGCTTCAGAGGAGTTGTTTTCTCCTGTGTTGCTGCTCTGGTCTGAGTGCCAGTCGGGCACAGCAACTTCAAAGCTGTTCAAGTTGCTGGCTCTGGCCACACTGCTCCTGGAGTGACTACTCCTGCCCTACCTGGAGACAGGGGAGATGGTATTTCTTGTTTCCTGATTTTATGTGACCTTTTCCAGTCAGGCTACAGTTAAACAACAGCCCTCCAGGTCTGAAAGCATGCAGGGGGCAAGCATTTCTCTTGCTCTGCCAGGCACAGCGCTTGCAGTGCTGGCTGTGGTAACAGGACACATCAGGCTCCTGTGCAAAGTCCAGTGTTTACTGGGAATCCAGGACTTGCCAGTCACACCAGTGCCCCCAGGCTGGGTTTTGGCACAGAGCAGCTGTAGCGTGGTATGTACATACACTCGGCATGGGAAGAGAGGACTTGGTGTTAAAAGTGCACGGGGTGAGCCCTGGAAGCTTTTGATGTGGCAAAGACAAGGGCTGCCCTGTGCTGTGGGCAGGCAGCTCGCTGCTGTTATTGCATTAACTAACACAGGGAAGGTACCACTTGTCCTTTGCACCTGAGCTGCCACTCCTTCCCCTCTGCCATTCTTGTCTCTGCATGTTTTCTTAGGAGACAACTGTTTTCCATGCTTGACATCTTGCCCTCCCCTCGGCTCCCCCCCAGGCCAAGCAGTTTTCTTTGCCAAGTTTCCCTTGGATAGACAACAGCACATATCATGCGATCTATCCAAACTCCTAATTGATCTCTCAGGAATTGTTTTTTATCTGAATTCCTGGAATGTTTCCATATGCTGAAGAGTTTCCTCCGGAGGGAAGGGAAATTTATCCTGTGCCACTCCCTCCGGAGGAGTGGTGACCACTGGAAGGCTGGTTGTTTGGCTTGTGCCTGTTGGGAGACGTGGGCTCTGCAGTGTTTGCTCGCAGTTGTGACTGTGTTGTTTAAAAAAGCAGCTGCTTGGAGAACAGCAGGAAGGTGAGTGGTTGCTCCGCATCAGCAGCTTCCCTGTCAGATGGAGAAAGAGAGCATCCCAGATGGATAAGCTGGGAGAGCACTACCTTGTTTCTGTGTGCAAAGGAGACTTGCGCTCGTATGTGGAGAGAAGAGCAAACGACTGATCAAAAAAAGCCCCGCTTCTGAGAGCCTGGAGTGAGCAGGAGTGGTGTCTGCAGGCAGTCAGGCTGCCGGCACTGTGTGCCAGAGCGGTGGTCTCTGGTGGTGCAGTGGCACCTGCACAACCCCATCAGCTCCATCTCCTTTTTCCAAAGCTGGGCAGGGACAGTGGCAGCCGGAGAGGTGCAAGTCCCTGCTCACCCCCACCATCAGCTCTGGAGTGGATCACAGCCCCGCTTCTCCCTCCTCCGATGCTTAACCATTTGCAAATGCAACTGAAGCACTGCAGGTTACATGCTGAGCAGACCTTCTAATTAAAATTCCTCACTACTCACTGGAGCTGCAGCAGTTGGTTATTCTCAGTGCCTGAGCCTGGCCAGGGTGATGGGCTGTGAGGTCCCAGAGGTCTGACAGGGGCAGGGGCCCTGCTGCAATGTGACTGAGTGTGACACCTCTTGTGCCATGCCCTGATGGTGAAGCAGGCTGTCTGTTCCAGGGTGGCTGGAAAGGACTCTTAAGGAGCTCTCCCCTCTACTGTGGCACTGCTTTGGCTCCTGCTTTACCATCCAATGGCTGATCCCCACCTTGCACCAACCCCCAGAGCCAGCCTTGGATAACACAAGACCGAGCACAGGCCAGGGGAAGAGAAAAAGGCAAAAGCTTCAGGGTTCCTGCAGACTTGCAGGATCAGACTGGAAGCACAGGCTAAAAACAGAAAAGCCACCAATGGCTGTGACAGCTCGCTGGGCACCAGACGGTGACAGCAGGAGAAATTCATTGCCAAAACAGCTCCTCTGTGCTGGTGCTGCTCCCAGACTCACGAAGGACCGTCCCCTCCTTCCTGTGCTTGGTCCCCGTCCCAGCACCATGGTGTGCACCCTCCAGTGACCCTCAAAACTATGATGGGTTTAATAAACCACCAAAATACCAGGAGAAAGAGCTGTGGACTTGCCAGTATTAAAGGAAATCTCGTTACTAATGATGTTCCTTACTAGCATGGTGTGCCCACTGGCTCGACAAAAAGCCCCAGCTCTGCTGTCTGTGTTGATGTGCATCAAAGTCCTCAGCCAGAGCTTCTGACCCAGTGAGCTGGGGCGTAATCAGACACACAGTCTGCACAGGGCCACACAAAGAGAAAATTATTCTCTTGATTTGGTCATTCGAGGCACAAGGAGGATGAAATGACTCGCTGAAGGTTGCAGTTTAGGTCTGGTGCCACTAATGACTCTGGCCAGGGGGCTGGCACATGGATGCACTGTCTTGTCTGTCCCCTGCTGCAGCAGTCATCACCCATTTGGGAGGGCAAGTGGCTGGGGAGCCCTTACAAACCAGTGGCTTGTCCTGAAGTCTGTGCAGGGAGG